TAGTTTTGTGACCTTGAGCAAATCTTGCCTTTGCTGACGTTGAGACTCTGACTTAATTCCTTCCCTCCTAATCACAGAGGAACATTGGAGAAAGAAGTGATGTATGTGTGAATTTTCTTTTAAAGGGCCCAAATATTTTAAAAAGTATTTTGTGTGATGTGAGGGACAAAAATTTACCTGTGGATCAGATTGGGAGATAAGTATCACATGCTATTAAATTCTTACTGGTCAAAGTTTGGATTGCCGCATAAATGGCATTTTAGCAATATTTCATGATGAAATTTTCTTAGGCAGATTGAATGATATAAAACAGTAGATTGGGAAGATGAGGCAGGAGGATCACAAGTTCAAGCTCAGCCTGAATAACTTAGCAACTTAGCAGATCCTATCTAGGTATGGGGATTCACAGGAGCATACAGTATGATTAGGAAAAGATGTGTGAAGGCCCTGGGTTCAATCCTCAGTAACAGTCAATAAATCAATCAGTCAATTGATTGGAAGCACTGCTTGCTTGCCCACTGTTTGGCAGTGCTGCATTCCTTTCAATTCCTTTTCTTCTTGTAACATCGTTCCCCATCATGGCATCATCATCGCCCTAACAGATTAGTGTGGACTTTCTCAGCAGGCTAATGATGTTGACATTTATCTCGCTGAAGACAAAATAAAGTCTTTTTTGCTGCCACTGTGCTGCTGAGTTAAAAGTTCAGGCTCCTTTCAATCATCAGGTGCCTCTTGATCATGACTGTTGTTAGAATCACACTGTGCTCCTATGAATGCCCACACTAATGATGACTCCCCTTTTCCCTTTGTTTTGTCTCATGACTGAATGACTTTCTCTCAGTGTAAGACAGACTTGCATTTAAATACAGGTTCTACCATTTACTGGCTGTGTGCTCAGGAGTAGGTTTTTAACTTCCTGAGACTCAGTGTTCTTATCTATAAAAAGGGACTAAATGACATCCTTTTAGGGCATGATGGAAAAGTTTCAATGTAGAGATAAGATTATGTCACTACAGCACTTAGTGTGGTGTCTGGCTCTGAGAAAGAGCATTATATCTGTTAGTCTCTGCTGCTGTTGCTGTTAATGGCAGTGATACTTATTGAAGAAGTTGTCCTGAGAGCCCTGGTCTGGCTGAGTTTGGAGTCAGCGCTGTGACCCTCCACCAGGGGGCCCCCTAGAGGACTCCTGCTGGGCCTTTTGCCCTGGAGAGAGGCTTAGCTGTCTGCTGACATTCATAGTTTTTACTGTGAGATTTTTTTTTTTTTTCAGAATTCTTGGAGCTTTCTTTCTTCCTAGGTTGGGATAGACAGAAGCTACATTTCTCAATACTGAAGGGGCTGTGATGAAAGAAACTGTTTCCTAAAGTGAATTTAGAAACTAAGTCCTACCGCTGTATGTCTGTCCTCTAATAACTGTTCTCAAACCTGCAGCTCTGCACTAGGCTTCCTTTGATCATATTAATTCTTCTAGCCCTGCGCCTCTCTTTGCTAATAGCTTAATGCTTTCTTATCGAACAAGTTGCTGCATCAGAAACTTAACCAGGGAATGAGGGATTAGCCAATGCTTTCTATCTCCTGTATAAAATACATTGCCTAATTCTCAGAGAATACATATTACTCCCAACTCATGGTCAACTCTGTTTCATTCTGGTCTTTCTTGATCACGTGGGTACAGTGATTACTTGCCAAGAGCCAGTTGTATTGCTCCCCATTTCTATTTATTTCCCTTCTGTTATGTAATTATATATTGCAGTTAAATGTTTCATAAACAGATTTAACTTAAGTGAAAAAAGAGTTGGTGATTCTGTGCAGTTTTGCAAAGAGTAAATCTGAGCTGCTTAAAAGCTTTGTTGAATTAGATGTGGGTGAGATGACTGTAAAAGCCTCAGGATGGAAGCGATCATACAAACCAGACAGAATCTGTGTTCAGATTGTTACACAGGTTCTTTGTATTCTCTCTGCTTTAGAGGAAGCAAGCTTCTAAATCCTTGTCATCACGATGCAACTGAGTTGCTTATATAACAAATGCAATTTGCACTCTGATCCTTAGACCAGTGTAGTCAAAACCTTGGTCTCTTTAACGTCTGTAAAGATACCTAGAAGGGGCACACCCATGATTGTAGCAGCACAATTCGTAATAGCTAACTTACGGAAGCAGTCTATATGTCCATCCACAGATGAATGGATAAAGAAAATGTGGCATTTACACATTGTGGAGTACTACTCTGCCATAAAGAAAGACACGTTTGAGTCATTTGTAGGAAAACGGGTATACCTTGAGACATAATGTTAAAGTGAAATAAGGTTAAATATCACACAGAGAGCAAAATAAAAGATAGATAGTAGAAAGCAGGGAGATAGATCAATCTCAAAGGGGAAGGGGATCTAGAGTTGGAGGGGAGGAGGGACGGGATCAAGGATGAAAAAAAGGGATTGAGGTGTGTTATGTACGTATACCAACTCTACACAAGGAATGTAAATATTATGTACTGCAAACATGTACAAAAACAAGGAAGAGGTTCAAGGGATGTGGGCATGGAGGGAGGAAGGAAGGGAAAGGGATGGAAAAACAAATTGAGATGTGTTACATACATGTACCAACTTAATGTTAAAAATAAAATCTTGGTCTCCACTGAAGCCTAGGAATGGATCCAATTAATACACTTTAGAGTTATGATATATTTTATTTATGTATGCATCATTTGAAAGGGCTTCCTGATTTAATCGATATTTTCTATTATGTGACAAATTATCCATCTGGTTATGGTGGATAAGGGCACAAGGATTCCATTGTCTGTGTTTTTCCTCTCAAAATAGCTGATGGGCCCACTGTGCACATCATGTGCAGGGACTGATCAGTGACGGCAGTGGGTTGTGCAGGTAGGATAATGAACAGCTCTCACTGGGAATTGATTGAGTCACATTGTGAAGTGAATACTTAGGCCTCAGGGTGCAGGCTATGACCAACGCATATGTGTGGACACCTTCCTATGTCAGTTAATATTTTGTGGACAATTATTCATATACTCTTTGTTCAATCACTGTAACCCTTAGGATCACAGTAGAATGTAGGAATCACTACCAGCTTCACAGAAACAGTGATCAATTTATAGGGTGAATGTTTAAATTTTGAAAATTTATAGCAATAAAATATATATGGCTATTAATCCCCTTCAAAATACTCCCTCTCACTTGGCACACACTCATCCAAGTTGTTCCTGCCACTTTCTGAAGGAGTTCTGGAATTCTTTCAGGAGTCTTTGCGAGGCACAATAAAAGACATGGTGACTCCTACGTCCAGGTGCCATCCAACAGGAAGGAGGCTCAAACAAATATTATCCACTGGATCTGGCAGCATGTGACTTCTGGCTCTTCCCAAAAGTCACTATGACCATGAGAAGTAAATGCTTTGAGTTGATTCAGTACATACAGGTGGCCACGACAGCAAAAATGAAAACACTCACAAAAGTGGACTTCCAGAACTGTTCCAGAAAGTAGCCACAACAATGGAATAAGTGTGTTCAAATCCAGCAAATCACTGTGTATGTGGGGGAAAGGGATCAGTAGCAATGTGCTATACAAGTTTATAAAATGTAAACACTCATCATAAATTTAGATCATATCTTATAGATGGGGCTGCTGAAGTTCAGAGAAGTTAAATAACTTGGTCCCACTCTTGTACCAATTAAAGACATGGCTGAAATGAGTTCTAAATCCAAATCCTGTGACTTATCCACCAGAATTGATAGTAGCATTGACTGATACACTTAGTACTAAGATTCAGGTTCTTATACCATTAGCACTGAGCTTTAGTCAACTGCACCAAAATGTGATTTTCATTTTCTTAAGATTCTGATCAGTTTGACTAGTTATAAGTAGGGAGTTTTATGCATATCATTCGTTAAGCTTCAGTCATTATTTTGTGATACTATACAATAATATTTGAGAAAGGATACTTTATAAACAATGACATTTATTTGGCTGATCATTCTGGAGGCTGAGAAATCCAACGTTAAGCAGCCACACCTAAAGAAAGCCTGTTATTGCATCATAACATGGTGGGAGGCATCACATAGCAACAAAGCACATGAAGAGTGAAAGAGGGCCCAATTCAGTGCTATACCAAATCTCCTACCTTAACAAACCTACTTTCACAGTAATGACTATAATCTATTCATGAGGGCAGAGCATTTATGACCTCATCACCTCTTAATGGTCCCCACTTCTCAACACTGTTTCATTGACAATTAAATTTCCACACACGGATTTTAGAGGACACATTTAAACCATAGGAGCTTCCAAGACGTAGCAGCACAAGTACCAAGGCCCATTCCCCTTTACTGCCCTGCCAGCTGTGCTGTGAGTGTACTATGAACAGGTGGGCGCACTAAGACATCCAAAATGAGCCACCAGAGAGCAATGGCTTTGCCAACACATGTTATTTACATTGTTGTAACACCTGCTGTTTCGGTGCAAGATAAGGGTCTGTCATAATTTCCATATTCTCTCTATTCAAATGGAAAGTTACTTGGCTGACTCTACTCCCTGTGGTATATAATTTGGGACATGATATGTCAGCTCAGCTAAACATTGCTTTATCATTAAAATTGTTGACCATTTCAAGTTAGTACTGAACTAGATACATATGCTTATTTTCTATTCTCCAGTCTATGAGGGAAAAAGCACAAAAGAAAGAGCTTGGCTTTGGAGTAAAGTCAAGGGAAAAATGACAATTTAAATCAGCATTTTGTAAAATTTTGTCTTGATCCACCAGTATTGGAATTACCCGAACAGCTTATTAACTACACACATTCCCAGGATTTACCCCAGATCTATAGAGGCAGAACATGGAAACACAAATCTGAGTCATTTAAATAAATTGCATGGAGCAATAAATAATCTATACCAGGTTCCTGCTATAACAAGCCACCACAAATGTGGTGGCTTAAAACAACAACAATATATTTTCTTGCAGTTCTGGAGTCCAGAAGTTTGATACCAAGTTGTGAGCAGAGACATCTTTTTTTTCTGAAGACTTCAGGGGAGGATATGTCCCAGGCCTTTCCCTCAGTTTCTGGTGCTAGCTACTCCGGATGTCACTTAGATATGTCATTACAATCTCTGCCCGTATCTTCACATAGAGGTAGGTATTCTCTGGTGTGTGTGTATGTGTGTGTGTGTGTGTGTGTGTGTGTGTGTGTGTGTTCTTTTCACATAAGAATGGCAAACTGGGAGTGGTGGCACATGCCTGTAATCCCAGTACTTGGGAGCCTGAGGCAGGAGAATTGCTGTATGAGATTAGCCTGGGCTACATAATGACTTCAAGGCCAGTCTGAACTACATAGCGAGACCTTGTCTCAAAAAGCAAAAAAAAAAAAAAAAAAAAAAAAAAAATAAAAAGGGGCAGTCGTCTTATTAGATGAGGGCAACACCTCCCCCCACCAGACAAATATCACTGCCTTCTAACTTGATTATATCCGAAAAACCCCTCTTTCCAAATAAGGTCACATTCACAGTTATTGGAGAGCAGGACTTTAACCTACTTTGGTAGCCCTCAATTCAATCCAGAACAATATCTCTATATATTTTCTGATAACAATTTTATATTAGTAGATGCATGTTTTACATTGTGATGGGAAAATATAGCCAAATTTATTAGAAATAAACATTCAAGTAAAGGTAGAGGTACTACTTTATCTTTCTTGGTAGTCACTTGAAATTCTGAAATCTTAGTGTGCTTTTAGTCATGAAACTTCCTTCATAATAAAGAACTCAGATTTTTAAAACAACAAATTTTCAACTAGTTGGAAAATAGTGGTAAATTTCTCTGCTTTGAAATTTATCATGTAGGAACACTTTTTAAAAAAATCTTGCCCATTTATTCAAAAGTATAAAATGCCATTTCTTATATTCTAGGCACTGTTTAAGGCTCTGAAGATACAAAAGCAAGTGATTCACAAGGTGTTATCATTGTGCGATCTCTATACTATGTGAAAACTGTTAGATATCACACATGGCAAGTGTTGTGATCAAAGTATAGAAAACTATGAAGGAACTTGACAGGAGAGAGAGATTAAAAAAATGGTCAAAGAAGACTTCCTCAGGGCTAAATTGAGTAGAGATTTGAAGGAAAAGTAAAAATTTTGTCAAATGAAAAGAGTGCAGGGGTGGAATAAAAGATAGTTTCTAGGGCTGGGGATTTAGCTCAGTGGTGCCACTGCCTGCCTCACAAGCTCAAGGACCTGAGTTCATTCCTCAGTACAAAAAGCAAAGCAAAACAAAACAAAACAAAACAAAAACCTGCTTATATATCCAGAAAACCTCTGGGAGTTTTCTAAGGTAGAGAAAGAGGAAGGATAAACTAGTCATGGCTGATGGTTCACAGTATCTGGTATTGACTGAACAAATTTTGGGTACCCACCCAAAATTGATGTATTAAAACCCTAATACCTAATGTGACAGTATTAAGAGGTGGGGCCATGGAGGTGCCTAGGATTAGACTGAGGCATGAGAATAGGACCATCATGATGGCAGTAATGCCCTTCTAAAAAGAAGAAGAGCCGTGAAAGCCCCTATTCCTTTCCCTACTCTCTCTGCAAGCATATGCACCAAGCATATGTGTACATGCCCAAAAGGGGCAGGCTCAAGTACAATGGATTGAAAGTTTATGTCTTTCCTTTTGTTATGATTTGGATCTGAAATGCCTCCCAAAATCTGAAGTGTTGGAGGTTTCATCCCCAGTATAGCTGGGTTCAGAGGTGAGGCCTTAAAGGAGTAAGTGGCTCAAGAAGGCTTTGACCTCACCAACATATTAATCCAACGATAGATTTGTACCTGAATGAGCTATTTGCAGGTGGTGCAAATTTTAGTAGGTGAAGTCTAGTTGGAGGAGGTAGGTCATTTGAGTTGTACCTGTGAAGGGCATATTGCAGACTTGTTCTCCTCTTGCTCCCTCTGGTTCCTGGTCTTCATGATGTGAGTAACTTTGCTCCTCCATATGATCTCCACCATGATGTTCTGTCTCACCACAAGTGAAGAAACCACAGAACCAGTTGATCAGGGACTGAAACTTCTGAAACCATAAGCCAAAATAAGGCTTTCCTCTTTTTGTTATTTTCCCAAGGTATTTTTTAACAGCAATAGAAAGGTAACTAATGCACTCCAATAACTATATTGAAATCCTTCTGCTAAGGTGATAGTATTAGGAAACTGAGCTTTTGACAGGTGATTAAGTCATGAGATGGAAGCCTCATGAAAGCCCTTTTAAAAGAGGTGCAGGTGGGGCCAGGGATGTAGCTCATTGATGCTGTGCTTGCCTGGCAAGCGCAAGGTACTGAGTTTGATTCCTCATAGTGGGGGGGGGGCGAAGAGGCCCAGGTGGAGAACTCCGTAGCTCTTTCCACCTTGTGAGGACACAAAGATAGCAGTCTCCAACCTGGAATAAGGCCCTTGCTAGAACTCAACCATACTAGCATCCTGACCTTGGACTTCTCGGGCATCTAGAATGGTGGGAGATAGTTTTCTGCTGTTTAAGTCACCAAGTCTTTGATAGTTTATTTTAGCATCCCAAGCTGAATAAGGCAGTAATGAGCCATTCAAAGCCTCTGTATATTGGGTGATTTGTGCAGGTTTTTCTCTGGAATAGTTGGGTAAAGGTTGAATATCATGCAAGGTGAAAATCTTTTTGAAAATTGAAATATCCTCTCTTGTGAAGTTTTTTTTCTAAGTGCTGCATATTAGTGCACATTCTTTCCTTAAAGACTCATAATAGTTTTTTACTATTAAAGGTTCTTAAATATCCCAAAACAAGGAAATCCTTATTACTTTAAATTAGCATTTCCCAAAGTTGTTTGATAATAAAACTCCAGTGTGGAAGTGTGAATCTAAACATTTTCCTAGGCCTGCAGTGGCACAGTCTAGAGCTGGCCACAGGAAAGGGAGCCTGAGACAAAACCTGATCCTTTTATAGTACTCAGGGGGAACCTTGGGGTTAACAAGTGAGACAGAAGCAGAAAGAAAACCAATGAAAAGTATGTTAAAGATCCTTAGTTAGTGATGCTTTGTTTGATAAATAAAATTTTAATTTTAAACTAAATGGTAGTAAAAGTAATACATGTTCCTTGGTAAAAATATTTAAAATAATACATTAGAATGCAAAGTAGAACATGAACTAATTTTATTCATATATATGTTTATTAAACACTTACATGATGCTTTCTACTCCCTTTTTCTGGGTTTTTTTTCACTTGACTATTTTAATGTTTATATGTGTAGAACATTATCACATTTTACTAGCATATCATAATTTATTCACACAATCCTTAAAGATTTTGGAAAATTTATATTCTCTCATTTAAAATAGTGCTGCAGTAATTATCTTTGCACATGTATCTCTGATACCTATTTGAGTAGTTTCTAGAAATGGGAATCCTGTGTTAGATGCAAGGCAGAAATCTCTAGTTGTCTCTCACTATCCATTCTTTCCTGCGTCTTTAATAAACACGATCTCACATTGGCTCCTGGGAGTAGTGCTGTGAACTAAAAGGTTAAACTTGTCCTAGCCTCATTTGTAGGCAGGTACAGACATGCGGCTTACATTTAACCAATGAATACAAGTTCAAGTGTTCCTAACTCTTTGCAGACATCTCCGTCCTAAGGAAAAGGCAAATATTTCTTTGTTCCTTCCTCTTTCATGCTGACTCATCTTAAGCTGACTTGGGTCATGAGAAAACATGCTAAGGACACAAGGGAGCAGCAGGGCTTGAGGAGCCTGTTCTCCTGATAATTTATAGCCACCATAATACCTTGGAAATGCTTTCCCCTGGGTTTCTTTTAATAAAACAGAACTAAGTTTTTAATTTTATTTGACTACTACATTTTTTTCTTGTTGTGTCCTCTCAAATGAAATTCTAACTTATTCAAATGAAACGCATATGGAAAAATTTGGAAATAGTATCCAAATGTCCTGGAAGCAGCTGTAGCAGTAGGCGCTCATCAGTAGTAAGATTGCCTGGAAGAAAATTATAAATGATATGGTAGTTATCATTTGAAGAGTTTTTATAACTTTTTCTTTAGGCATCCAAATACTCATACATCAATAGCAGTAAGTAGAAAGAAGGTAGAGTCATACAAATTTCTATTCAGTTCTTGGCTTGACCACTGACCACTGTTTGACTGGGACCCTAACTAGTTTATAATCTTTTAGAACCTTAGTTTCTTAGTTTGTTAAATGGGATTAAAGCCAGTACCTCTTTGGGTTATTTAAGATGATTAAATAAGATAATGCCTGTAATATATTCAGCATAGAACATGACATCAGATGTTAGCCATTATTATTCTGTAAACAAATTGAGTACCTAATTTTATTATGTGGGATATGACTGTAAATGGCATTGTGTCTGTAATCAGGTAGCACAGTAGAAAAGTTTGGATAAAAAAACTGTCCATCAATAGTGTATCCACTAAGTGAAGAAATCTCTCTTAAAGAAAAGTACACTATCATAGGAATTTGGGGAGGAGGAAATTACTTCTGTTAGGGTCAGGAAAGTCATTGCAAATGATTTAAAAGATGGGAAAAATCCATCCGACAGAAATTTCGGAGGACTTCATTCTAAACCAGGCATCATGGCAGTAGCAAAATGGTGGTTTAAGAAAGTGTGAGTAAACTCGTGAACCAGGTGGATAAGGTACAAGGAATTGCAAGGCAAGCCTAAGAAGGACAACAGAAAGATAAGCCCAATCCTAGAAGACTTGAATTAAACAGCTTGAAAGCTCTTTAATGCCCCGGGGCATCACTGAAGGGCTTTAGCCTGAGTGGAAGGCAGAGAGGTGAAGAGAGGTGTGCTAGATGATCGCCTAACCAAGGTGCAGCAAGGTCTGGATAGAAGAAAGACAGAAGGTAAGGCCCGCAAGCCACTGCCTAGGGTTGTGTTGTCACAATGCAAATGAGTAGAAACATATCCTTGCACAGAACATCAGTCATTTTAATTTTTTCCAATTACCATTTCGGGAAACCAAGAGGCAGAACAACCCTGTGTCTTCCAAGGGTGATAAGTGAGTCAGTAGTGAAACCATTAGCAAGTTGTGTTTGCTTCTTGCTCCTTATGCACAGGGAAAGTATATCTCTTAGCAGTACACTTTGGA